ATTTATGTTACATCAATAGGTCACTAAATCTATCTAACTTTTAGGGGTTACAGACTCCTGTTGAGAGGCTGGTTACCAGAAAAGCCCTTTCCCCAGGTGGGGAGTAGGGCATGCATTTCATGAAGGGCTTTATCACTCCCCGCCCCAGGCTGAAATGGGCTGAATGTAGGAGCCTGCCAGCATGCTATAGCCCGCCGTGCACCAGAAGCAGGGATGCAGCCTGTTCAAGGTGTCAGGGCGTGGTCACCTCCGCAGAATGGGGCTTTTAGACAGCTCAGCTAGCAGCTCGTAGAGCAGCTCGGCAGAGGTGGAGTGAAAGAGGTTTTCTCCGGTCACAGCTCAGGCCTGTGTCAAGGCTAGAGCTTTAACACAGACATTGTTCGGGAAATAGGAGAGCGGGGCCCACAGGACTTAAGGACTGCACAAAGGGCAGACAGGAATGGCCAGTTTTTAAATATGGGTAACTGAGGAACAAGTTTAATAAGGTTTCACTTAGCAACAACAAGAAGGTAGGGAAGAGGGGACCTGGTTTTAAGGAAAAAGATAAAAGGAGAAACTCAGAAAGATGTAAAGACAGTTAAGATATGTTCTATGTACACATCAACTCCCCACAATGAGTGAAAGCACTATGTACCGCAGCACCGTGGCAAACGCGTCTACAGTGAGGGGAGGACGCTGGCAGTGTGTCTTTTACTGCAATTCATTCACTTGCCTAACATGCCATGTATACTAACAGAGAAGGGGAGAACAGTCAGTGTATGAGCTCAGGCCACAACCTGCCAGCAGGCAGCCCAGGAAGCCAACTTAATCTCTCTAGTAAGCACAAGTTCAGAAATCAAACAGTAACCATTACTGCTCAAAACAGCCAGACTTTTCTTTTTATTTATTTATTTTTTTGGGGGGAGGGGTCTTTTTGAGACAGGTTCTCACTATGCAGTTAAAGCTGGCCTTGAGGGCCAGGGAGATGGCTTACTAGAATAAGTGTTTGCCTGGCAAGTGCAAGGGCCTGAGTTCAATCCCCGGTTCTGGGGAAAAAAAAAAAAAGCTGGCCTCGAGCTCACTTTGCAGCCCAGGATGGTCTTACACTTGCAACAATCCTCCTCCCTTAGCCTCCTGAGTGCTGGTATTACAGGTGCATGCCACCGTGCACTGTAACAGCCAAGATTTGATTAATAACCAATTTTTGTCCCACTTCCAACAAGGACCTACATGGAAAGCTAAGATTGCAGGCCTAGCCCATGACACTGGACGCCTGAGCCCTAGTTAGCCCACATGTGGCTTCCTCACAACATGCTCACTTGGAGACACCCTTCCACTTTCCTCACCAGTCTTCCCCTTTGGCCTCAGAATCTACCAAATGTGAGCGCCATTAGCTTGCTCTGAATTGCATTTGCTGGTTCTCATTTGGGTATTCTTTATTTTTACACTAAAAATAGCTTTAGTATGACTGACAAATGTACACTTTGACTTGCGTCATGCACACACACATAAAATCATCACCATGGGGGCTGGCAAGATAGCTCAGTGTCTAAAGCGCCTGCTTAGGCAAGCATAGGGACAAGGACCATGGTTTGATCTCCAGCACCACATGCCACACCAGCCCTGCCCCCAGGGCGGGCTGAACCTGCCACAATAAATAAATAAATAAATAAATAAATAAATAAATAAATAAAATCATCACCACAAATAAAATTTTAAGCATATCATGCTCTCGTGCTCCCTCTAAAATCGCCTCATCTAGAACACCTTAATGCAGCCCTTATATCTAAAACAACCTTGGTTATACCCATAATCTCAGCATCTGGGAGGCTGGGGTAGGAGGATCTCTGAGGTCAGCCTGGGCTACATAGTGAGTTCAAAGCCAGCCTGAGCTACCTAGCTAGATCTTCAACCACCCACCCACCCAACTAACTCACCCCAAAATAAACTCACAAAATCCTGATCCCTCTCTGCATTTTCTAGAATTTTATACTAACTGAAGTCATGGTTGATACTCTTTGTACGATGTTCCTCACACAGCATAATTTTGAAACTTACTCATTCTATGCTGTGTGTCAACAATTAATCTTTTCATTTCTTTTTACTGACGAATACTAGTTCTTTCAGGGAGTCCTTTGATGACCACAAACTCAATTTCAATGTGTTAACTGATGGCTAGCACGTTTTTGTGTTCAGAAAATAAGTGTTTGCTGATTCTAAAGATACTCTTCTGTATTTTGTTTTAGAAGTATTCTTTGTCTTACCTTGCAGATTCTGCAGTGGACAGCAACTAGGTATTCTGTTCTAATACCATTTCCTTCCAGATGCAAATTATGAGTCCCAGGGTGTTTTACTTATGCACCTGACTTTCTGGCTATGAAATGGGGCTCCCCAACCCTCTCCTCAGGTTCAGTAAATCTGTATGAGCAACTCAACAGAATTTGGGAACACCCTTATTGCTCAGCGTGTTATAAAGGATGTTACAAAGGACAGAGCTGAAGAGATGATAACATAAAACCTGGGGCTCCTCTTGGTATCCCAGCCCCAAAAACCTCCACTTGGCCACTACCTGAAAGCTTCCTGAGCCCTGTCCCCTGGTGTTTGTTTTTCCCAGAAAAGCCGATTGCATAGGCTGGGCAGCACGGTGACTGGACACAGAGGCATGACCCAAGGCCAACAGCTGAGTAGGTGCCAGCACACCTGCCTGCTCAGCTTCCACACAGCCTCTCTGGGCACTGCCCTGGGGAGGGGCTGATGCAGGACCCCTTGAAATGGGAGTCTTGGGATCCACTACCGGAAATGGCAATGAGGGAAATGGCAGATCACATCAGCAAATCTCTTTGTGAGCAGCAGCCACAAGGCGGGGAAAGATCAGAGAAAGGCTGGTTTCAATGACCTACATTGGGGAGAAAAAGGAGCAGATCAAAGAACAGATCAGAGCGCCTTACATCCTCGTCATTATTCTAGTCACTTGGAAAATACACGGTTTATTGGAATAATTAGAAACCACAGGCAAAGCTGCCAAAATACAATGTATGTGTAAAATAGGATGGAGGCTCGTAATTTTTTCCCCCCGCTGGAACCAGGGATTGAACTTAGACTCCTGCGATTGCCAGGGAAGCGCTTACTCTACTGAGCCATCTCCCCGGCCCTGGAGGCTCGTAATTTCAACCCACTGATCAACTCAGTTTATTTAACAGATGAATTAGAAACACAAAAGATCAGTCTGAAAATGCCAAGTCTGGAACTATGAGAAAAGGCTGCCTGACAGCGAGGTCACAGGCAGATATTTTCCAAAAGAAAGGGGGCTAGGGAGCTAGGAATGGTAGTGCATCCCAGCACCTGGGAGACTGAGGCAGGAGGATCACTGGCTACATATTGAATTATATAGTTAGACCTGTTTCAAACACACACACACACACACACACACACACACACACACACTCTACAGGGCTTGCTGGGGACATAGCTCAGTGGTAGTCTTACCCACTGTGAGGCTCTGGGCTTGATACTGACACCCACACTCACACATCCACCCCCACACACATCCTAGCTCAGTGGCAGAGCTCTTGCCTAACAAGTAGAAGGTTCTTGGTTCACTCCCCAACATCAAGAAAGAGAACTAGG